GGCCTCGCCAGGGTGAGTGAGGCTGAGAGGCTGCCGAGGTGGGGGGCGCGGCGAGGCGGAACCCCCGAGGGGACAAGTGGACCCAGAGTGGGGGCGTCCGGGCCCGGCGAGAGCCTTGGACACTCTTGTGCCCCCATATTGGGGGCGATTGAACCCAGAGCCGGACGTCTGGATCCTACAGGGAGCTTTGGGGCTTCCAGAAGCGACCTTGCATCGAAAGGAGTGTTTATATCCCCAGTGGGCATCCGAGCGCTCGAAGGGGGTATTCGAACCCAGAATGGAGCATCTGGACCCTCCTAGGAGGCATGCGGACCCCCCAAAAAGGACATTTGGACGCAAAATAGGGCGATTAGTCTGAGAATTGGGGTGCTTGGACTCTAGGGGACGAGTTAAGAAATCCTAGCCGGGGAGAAGGGGCCGTTTGGCCCCGATGAAGGCTCTGGGTCCTGAGACGGTGGAGGGAGGCTGTGCTGCTGGCTTGCTCCCGGAGGGGTGGCCCTGGGTCTCTGGGCCTGGGTGGGGATGGGTGGCCCCTGGGCTCCTGGGAGGCGGAGGAGAGGGACAGGGACGGTGGTCACTTGTGCAGATCAGCCCCCTGAGGGTTGGGGGAGGTCTCCCGAGACCAGCATTGCAGAGGAGGGTGAGGCGCAAGCCAGGAGGAAGCGCCTGGGTGGGTGGCAGCAGAGGCTGGACGGTGCTCCGTGCCCCCGAAGCCTGCGGGCACTGAGCCGGATGGGGTCGTGGAGGTGGTTAAAAGAGGATGTCCAGGCTGGTGCTTGCCAGCAGTGGGGGCCAGGGGACTTTGTGGTAGATTTGGGGGATTGCTGGAAAGGGTTCTGAGATTACTAGTGGGTTAAGACTATTGAACTAGAAGAAGAGAGTTTTTTTGTTTTGTTTTTTTATCCCCCCCTCCCTGGCGAGGGTTCTGGGAGGAGTGTTTTGTTTGGGTCCATGAGAAGATTGGTTTCCAAGGTGAGGGGACAGAATGGACTTGGGCCTGGGTGCCGGGAGGTGAGGTTGAAGGGGGACGAGGAGGGCGGGTTGACGGAGAAAATGAATGGCAGCCAGGGTGGGCCTAGGTTGGAGGTGGCCGTGGTTAGCTCCCTCCCCGTCTCGGGGGACAGACCAGAACAAAGACTGCAGTCTGAATGGGGAGTGGGCTGCAGGGGCTGGCCAGCCCCTCTCCCCCTGGAAGAATGGGCCCCGTAGAAGGCACCAGGGCAGTGGGAGCAGGTGGGCGGAGTTGTTCAGGCCCCTGTGGCGCACTGAAGCCGCATGAAATGGGGGTGGGGATCAAAGTTTGGGGTGCACCAAATGAGCCAGCTTTTTTAAGCCTCACTTCCTCACTGCCCCTCAGGCCAAGAAAGCTGCCTTTTCCGAACAGGAATCTGGTTTTCTCTTGCTCTCCAGCCTCTCGCACCATTCTGCATCTCCTCACTGGTGCCAAATGACAGTGCAGTACAGTGTGGCGTCGGTGACAATCGGATGCCGGTGCCTGTGCCCTCAGGGTGGGGGCTGTGGAACTTGACAAGAGAGGACCTCTGGGGAGACCCCCTTCACCGGCCTGAGGCCACGGCCCTGCTCAGGACCCTCACTGAGCGCCTCTGCTAACCACACAGCTGGGTCTCAGGAGAGCAGCAGACTAGTTCTCCCTACTCTCTGCCACCCACAACACCCACAGCCCCCCCAGGCTCAGCCTGGGGACCGTGCGCAGCCGTCCTCCCTGGCAGGCTGGGAGGAGGCAGCTTCTGCCGTGTATCAGATCTCATCTTGCTGACACAGGCCTGGTGGCTCCTCTTCCCGCTACCCCATTTCCCCTGCAGAGCCTTGCTGAAGGGGCCCTGGAGCGCCAGCAGGTGCCACCAGGCCTCCCCACGTCCAGAACGGGACCCGAGCTTTGACCTCAACTCCTTTCTCTTTCTCTTCGTAATCAGCAAGTATGGGTGCGACAAGTCACTGTGCACTGGCCATGGACTTTGGCCCGAGCTCGGTGGCTCCTCCTTGGCCCGGGTGAGGGGCCCTGGCCTTGGTTTCCGATCTCATCTAACACTGCTCTCTGGCATCGGCCGGGGGCTGGGGCAGGGCTGAGAAATAATACCCTCTTCCCTCTCCCACCCAAGCTTTTTTTCCTTGTCCAGCCCCTTTCTGGAGCTTAATATGAGGGATAAGGAAGCAGGATACCCACTGAGTTATTTTGGAGACAGCTTTTGGTGAAAGCTTACGAAGAGACGAAACCCTGAATGGGGGTCGCCAGTGTTAACCTATGATCAAGAGCTCCTTAGGGGATCAGTTTTCTGGGCAGCAGTCCTGCTTTGACAGGTATGGCTCAGAGCCAGGGCCTCTCCTTGAGCAGGGAAAGGGTCTCCTGAATGGAAGGGACAGTGTGCGACAGGCCTTCCATGCAGAGCCACACCTATTTGCAGCAACCGTGGGACAGTGCAGGACACGCAGTGCCTCGTTTACAGCTTCCAGTGTTTTGGTGGGGGTGGCAGACACCAGCCTTCAGAGCCACTCTTGGGCGTCCCATAACTTGTCCCAGCCTCCAGCCCCCAGCCCACAGCCCACAGTACTGGCCAGACGGTGGGGAACTGGGCTTCTTGCAGAGCAGTAGAGTGGGGCGGGGTGCAGTAGGCAGGTCCCCGATTGGGCTTTTTCCATCCCTGGCCAGGGAGAGAGAATGAAAAGCAGATGGAATAGCAGCTCTCCTGCCCAGGCACCCCCCTC